CATATTCAGGTTTATGTAAAAGTGTACATATTCAGGTTTATGTAAAAGTGTACATATTCAATGTAAAAGTGTACATATTCAGGTTTATGTAAAAGTGTACATATTCAGGTTTATGTAAAAGTGTACATATTCAGGTTTATGTAAAAGTGTACATATTCAGGACTATGTAAAAGTGTACAAATTCAGGTTTATGTAAAAGTGTTCATATTCAGGTTTATGTAAAAGTGTACATATTCAGGTTTATGTAAAAGCGTACATATTCAGGTTGATGTAAAAGCGTACATATTCAGGTTGATGTAAAAGTGAACATATTCAGGTTTATGTGAAAGTGTACATATTCAGGTTGATTGAAAAGCGTACATATTCAGGTTTATGTAAAAGTGTACATATTCAGGTTGATGTAAAAGTGTACATATTCAGGTTGATTGAAAAGTGTACATATTCAGGTTGATTGAAAAGCGTACATATTCAGGTTTATGTAAAAGTGTACATATTCAGGTTGATGTAAAAGTGTACATAAAACAATTTCCCGCACAGTTGTACAAGTGTGATCCCCACTACCAGGCAAATATTGAAAATAATATAAATTATAAAAATATAAAAACGTAATTTCAAGTAACTCTTTATTTATAAAGCGACTTTTCCAATTCAATTAAATATATTTAGTTTACCTTGAATTTAACTCATTTTATCAATTTACAAACTCATGGATTTGATAAGAGAAAAAATAAGATTATTGAGTAAAATATTTTCAATATATTTAGATTCATGTACAAACTGTGTCAGGTAATAATTTTGTTTTTGATCAGAGTTTTTAGAATTAAATTTAAGAATAAAATGTTCGTAATTTCTAACAAAATTTTCATAATTTTTAATAAAATGTTCAAGATTTCAAACAAAATGTTCATAATTGTTTTTGATCAGAGTTTTTAGAATTAAATTTAAGAATAAAATGTTCGTAATTTCTAACAAAATTTTCATAATTTTTAATAAAATGTTCAAGATTTCAAACAAAATGTTCATAATTTCAAACAAGATGTTCATAATTTCAAACAAAATGTTCATAATTTCAAACAAAATATTCATTATTTCAAACAAAATGTTCAGAATTTTCAAAAATGTTCAGAATTTCCAAAAATGTTCAGAATTTCCAAAAATGTTCATAATTTGTAATTTGAAAAAACTTTTCCTAACTTCAATCAAAATGTTCATAATTTCAAACAAAATGTTCATAATTTCAAACAAATTCATAATTTCAGACAAATGTTCATAATTTCCAACAAAATGTTCATAATTTTAGACAAAATATTCATAATTTCAAACAAAATATTCTTAATTTCAAACAAAATGTTCATAATTGCAAACAAAATGTTCATAATTTCAAACAAAATGTTCATAATTTCAAACAAAATGTTTAGAATTCCAAAAATGTTAACACTATTCAGGGTTACCCACATGAAATTCAGAGACGGCTGTACGGAATTTAAAGAATATTTACAAAGCAGAAGACACATTTTAACCTTCAGATCGTCGTACTTTAAGAGTTTTAGGTCGTCATTGAAGTATCATATTTTGCGTGTAACCCTGTAATAAAAAATCTTGGTATTTTAGTAAACTTTGTGGAGAGTTCGGTCAGATTTCCAGATTCAGAGCTCAATCATCTTTGCAGGTTACAATTGGAACTTAAAGCTTGCCTTAAAATTTAATTTTTAAATCTTTATATCTTCGCAACCTGATTGTAAATAGGGCTGGGCACGTAATGATATTTTTCAACCCGTTCGTTAACGCTTCGTTGAAACCGTTAACAAAACGTAGCTGTTCGTTTTTTTAGCAAAAAACGGAACATTTGGTTCCGTGAACGTTTTTTACCGTTCAAAAATAATTTTTTTTTTCAAAAACGGCTATTTCCGTAAAATTTAGGTTTTAAAAATTAACAGTTTTTGCCGTTCGTTAACGGAATGTTATTTTTCAAAAACCTTCACTTTGCCAAGTCCTAGGTGTGAACATTTCACATTTCAAACTTTTTATTCAAGGAGAATTCACAGTTTGAAATGTTAAAGGTCTACGATGTCAGGATACAAATATAAGTAATCAGTTCTGAGGACCAACATAAAATAGAGAGTAATCAGTTCTGAGGACCAACATAAAATAGAGAGTAATCAGTTCTGAGGACCAACATAAAATAGAGAATAATCAGTTCTGAGGACCAACATAAAATAGAGATACCAGTGAAGAAAAAAAATCCTATTTGAAAATATCAAAAAAAAAATTTCAAAACCTATCTCAAAGCAAAAAATGGAAAACTTCCCTGCAAGATTTATGCAATATACTTCCTTTTTCTCAAAGGCAATTTAGATAGATATTTTGTCTGCAGTTTTGCAATATTTTTTCTTTCCCTTACGGGCTATTGCAAAGCTTTGCATTATAACAAAACTGACTTTTTTTAGAAGAATTATAGGCCATACAAATGCACAAATAGCCATACATTATTTTTACTACAAGAAAAATGGCATCAAAAAGAAAAATGCCGTTTAAAGCTCAATTAAAGCACTTTGCACGCTAAAAGTCATTAATTTCGACCTTTTCCAAGGTTTTCTGGTCCAAAAAAATGACCCCACCCCCACACTAGTAAATTCCAAGCTGCTTGCCAACACAAAAGTATTATCTTTTTGATTAATAAGGTGTTCCACAGGGAAAATGTTTTTAATCCATTCTTAAAATAGAATTTAAGTATCTTTACATTCTACATATAGAAGCTTCCCGCAATTTTCTAGGGTGTTTCCCACCTTTCCGCCTGCCCCTGAGCTGTCTCAGAGCCGTTTTACTTTCTAACAAGGCTTAAAACTTAGCAAACATAAATTAGATTGGTTAAATGTTTTCCTTCCATTTCACAGTTTTATGAGTCCCACTGTATAAAAGTTATGAAATTGACATTAAAGAGTTAATAACCATTTACTTTCCTCAATCCTCATCCTCAATTTTAATATTTTGGTATCTTGAGTATTTCAAGAGTATTGGTTTTACAGTGTGATTACCTCAAATTAAAATAAAAAAAAATAAAATTGATTTTTACCGAAGCTTATGCTGAAATGAACTCGGGAATGCATGACAGGCTGATCAGAGAATTAATTTAGAGAAAATCAAATAATTTTAAAGAAAACCATTTTCTATGAAATGATGTTCCAGGGCCCAAAATGTCATATAGCACAAATGTGTTAAGTACACCGGCAGTATGGGAACAGTACAACAAATGGCCGTTATACACTTTTTTGAGTAAATTCCACTCTTTGTATAATCTATTCTCTTTGGCTCAAAGTTGGTTCAGCAGTCCGTCACCCCTATACAGGGGTGGGATCTCCAGTCCGTCACCCCTATACAGGGGTGAGATCTCCAGTCCGTCACCCCTATACAGGGGTGGGATCTCCAGTCCGTCACCCCTATACAGGGGTGGGATCTCCAGTCCGTCACCCC